AATAAGTGGCATAACTGGAATTTGAAGTCCGGCTCCAAAATCAGAGCTCTTAACCAACACTTTATTCAGCCTCTTAGAGAGAGGAGACAGTGTGCACTGGTCAATTTTTCCCTCAAGATATTGTAAGTACATAATACCATAATTAATGCCTTGATGGGAGAGTGCCTCCCAAATGAGTTATGTCACAGGTCAGAGGCCTTGCTCAACAGCATAAATCAACTAGCATCTTGAAAAGACTGACATAGTGTTTTCTCTTCTTTCCCTCCGCTCCCTGAGTCTCTGCTATGGTCTTTGTCGACAGTCCCACAGGCCTGGATTGTGTCAAACATAGGGTCTTAACATCACTCTGCTAGGAATGGCCACATAGAAACTGAGGATTGTTGGCTCCTGTTCTGAAGGCCCTGGGTGTCGGGGGCTAACGTTGTGGTCATGTTTTGGTTCAGCCGGAAGGAGGGCACATGATGAAGTTGGTGTAGACCCAACTCCGATTCCGAGGTCCTGAGGGAGGACACCCACAGCAGGAGCCCAGACGGTCGCTCCTGGAGAAATTCCAGCTCCAACCAGGCATCCAGAAGCCATCTGGCGGACACTGGTAAGGATACAAATTAGACAGGACTTGAACTTCTTTGAATTGGAGGAGTTTGAACTTTAACTGGATTTTAACTTACAAAGGTAAGATTATTTGATTTTGGAATTTACTTCCATGTAGACTTTAAATCTTTCTATTTTAATTTTTGGAGAATTTTTATACTTTTAATTTCTTCATGAAAAAAGTTGATAATGGGCAAGAGTTACCATTCAAATTCAGGGTATCTCTATGTTATTTAAATTTTTTGATTGAAACATGCTAATTCTTTCATTTGATCTCATTTCAGAATTTCTGAAGAACTTGTCAGAGAATATATAGCTATTTTGGGCACTGTTGCTGGGCATAATTTGAGGTGGCAAATGGAATAGAAAATGAACATTCAGTGTTTAATAGCATGACCTTGGAACCAATTTAATTAATGTACTATTCTAACCTAGTATCTTCTGGGGTAAATTTCATATTACCCACCATGATCTGGAAGGATCCACAAAGGGGCAGGGTTTGGTTATTATAATAGCAACTTTATCAAGTCCCTGAGAGACTTAAAATCTTTTTCCTCAAGTGTGAGAATGACTCTTCTGGTTCACCATATGTAATAATTAAGCCAAAGAAGTTATGGGAACAAAAAGTTGGGCAATGTCCAGGTAATGAGAGTGTTACCATAAAACAACATCAAAATCTGACGTTATATATGTGTTCTGCCACTGTTAATATGCTTCAATAAAACCAAAAAGCTCCTATTTGATGGTAAATAGGGGAATGATGTCAATACAATATGGAAGTTTGGTGGTGAATTTGTGCATTTTCTTGGCAAAGGAGGCCGACAGTAGGAGTAGGATTCTATCCTTTAGCAGGAAAGAAAAAAAGATGTTAGTATGGCTGCTGTTCTGTGGTTCCCTTCCCAGAAAAGTACACTCCTGGCCTTGCATGTCTCTGTGGGAGTCTCACTTCTCTGTGACTTAAAGAAAGGATCTCTAGCCCATTGCTCAGTGGGGTGAATGCAGTCTAGAAACCAAAAGGCTGCTGGTTCAGTTCCCCGTCAGGGCACATACTTGGGTTGTCAGCCAGGTCCCCAGGCTGGAAGCAATAGATCAATGTTTCTCTCTTTCTTCCTCCGTTCCCCTTTATCTAAAAATTAAAGTTTTTTTAAAAATAAAATAAAATAATGTCCCACGGGCTCAAACCTCCAAGTAGATTTCCATCTGCAATGTCTCACACTCAAGTTTTGTTTTTGTGAAGCTTCAGTACCCTCTGAAGCAGCACTCTGAGCTGCCTACTCAGGCTGTTTATATTATCTTCTAAGTTAATAATTACTACTTTTAGTTCGTATCCTGGTTTTAAAGGTGCATAGATTTTGAATGGTCTTCCTCAACTCTATTGTTCCCATAACTCTATTATTTTGGTGGGAGTGACTGTGCAGAATGCATATTTCATGCATATATTATGTCCCAGCAGAAATGTTAAACTAGCATATTGGCCATATATAGAAATATAGCATCGTTACACGATGGGTAGTTTTCTTCTATAGAAAGATTAGATCTACACAGGACCCACAACCAAAGAACCTTTCCACATGTAACAAAATACATTACTTTGTTAAAAGCTTCTATTTAGAAATCTAAAGCCACAAGCAACTTTCACATCCTATGGGTTTGTAAAGGTTTGACTTGATATACTGAAAGTGGTTTAATGTCATATCATATGTGCTGATTTCTCAAAGCATATGAGGAAAATTTAAAAGTATACCTAATTCCAAAAAAGAAGGAAGAGATAGAAGCCATTCTTCTGTGTGTATCTGTTACTTTAGTCATTGGTACAAAAACACTTGTAATCTATGCTTAAAAATAAAAAGTAATTGATATGATCTTAACATTAAACATCATTAAATGACTTTTTCTGATCCAAAACAGAGCAAATGAGCAAAAACAAAAACAAAGAAAGAAACAAACCTTATACATCAAATCAGAATATTAACATTTATTTATTTAAACTAAGAAATAACTTTCAGGCCTGGATGGTGTGGCTCAGCGTATTGAGTGTCAGCCTGCGAACAGAAAGGTGGCCAGTTGGATTCCCAGTCAGGGCACATGGCTTAGTTGTGGCCCGGTTCCCCAGTTGGGGTTGAGCAAGAGGCAATCTATCGATGTATCTCTCTCACATGGATGTTTCTCTCCCTCGATTTCTCCCTCCTTCCTTCCCCCTCTCTCTAAAAGTAAATTAATAAAATCTTCCAAGAAAGAGAAAGAGGTAACCTTCACATAACACTTGATCTTTTCTAAGCGGAAGTTCCAAAAACCATCAAACATAAACGTTTGGGGAACTCAATCATTTGATACGCAAATTACACTAACAAACAAAAAAGAAATGCAAAAACCTAAGGTTAAGTGAGTAGGGTTCTACGGGCTGGAAGTTCCTCCAACAGTATTAGCTTCTTTGTATATTAAGTCCAGTGAATTTGTTATGCTTCCAAAAGTTAGTGGTTTCACAGGCTAATTTCAGCAGCATAAGCTTCTATAAGTATGCAAAAATGCAGGGCAAGGTGTGCATGAAAATGTGATAATAGCACACTTCTGGGACACATGAAGCACGAATCAGGAATCCGAATGACTCTGGCATCCATGAAGTATCACACCTCAGAGTCAGAGATACTCATTTGTTAAGTACTTTTTTATACCACTTTTGGGAGGGGGAGAAATCAAATTTCTACATAGAAATCTTTCATCTTAACCAGAGTTCCTTATAGTTTCAATTCTAGCAATTACCTCAAATCTAAAATTTTAAATGAGCTAGAAATAATTCAAAGCTAGACAGGATCTTTACAAAATAAGTTATTTATTTTATTAATGCAAGTTCAAGAGTGATTATAAAATATTGTTACTGAGGGAGGGGATAAAAATGCAAAAAATGAGAAATCCAGTTTAATAATGATAACCTCCCCACCCCTTAAAAAAAATTAAGAAAGGATTCCCTGAGTTACATATGTGTTACATGCAAATAACTATCTAATGCTTCTAGATAATGGGTAAGTGTCTATAAGTGCTTTGAAATCTTCAGATGAAAACTCCTAATTAAAAATAATTATCATATCTAATATGAATATTGAAAATGAGCAAGAAAAATAGATTTATTTTCTATATACACACATATATAATCCTTAGAAAATAAATTTAAGTTATGAAAAATAAGTATCAAAATATCACAGTGATCACTCACTAGTATTATATAAGGATGATAAAGCCAGGAAGGTTTGCTTTTATAGAGTACAAGAAAGGACGTTAGAAGTAAAGGGGAGTGCCCAGTGTAGCCATACTGTAAAATCACTTTCCGCCATTTTGCGGTGAGAGTGTGCCACTTTGTCTTCTGGCCCTCTTCTGGCACACGGAATTAAGGGGTCAATGATATGACAGGCTCATAACACTAGCACACTCAATGGTGCTATTAGTAGCACTATTAAGATAATAGTAATTACTACTTTAGTAATAAAAAGTAGATTTTTAAAAAGTAAAGTAATAGTAGTAGTTACTATTAATAATAATTTCATATAAGCACAAATGCAGAATTCATGGTATTTTTGCTTTCAGAGACTAGCAAATCAGTGCCTTTAAGAAATAAAAACGATCTCATATTTTGATAAAAACATTCAATAAAATTGTTTTAAAGCACGTATCAAAACTTCTGAAAAACCTCTAGAAGTGAACCCAAACATTTTTTTAAAGAACTCTCTGAGAATACAATAGCATAATTTCTCATTTTTCTTTAGAAAACGTATACCAAAGAAATTATTAAATTATGAAAATTTATCAATTACTTTTGTTTATTAAGTTACAATTTACTGAGGTTAAAATGCCCATCTATTTTGTAAAAATCTAAGCTTGCTCTGTGCTGTAGAGTGAATGCTTGTGTTCCCCTGCCGCCCAATTCATATGTTAAAACCTAATCTCCAATGAAACGGTATTTGGAGGTGATTAGGTCATGAAGGTGGAGTCCTCCCCGAATGAGATTAGTGTCCTACAAGAAACCCCAGAAATCACCTTGCCCCTTTCGCCACATAAAGTCCCAGTGAGAAGAGTCAGCAGACAGACCCTCAACAGACACTGAACCTACCAGGTACCTTGATCTTGGCACCAGCCTCCATAACTGTGAGAAAGAGATGTTTGTTGTTTAAGCCACTCAGTCTACAGTATGTTTATTATAGTAGCCCAAATGGACTAAAACATGATGAAATAAAAGATTCCCAAAATTCTAATGCCCCTTCATGACTTCCCATTTATAAGAAAAATGTATTATTATTCATTTTAAATTAAGCTGTTTTATTATGTCTGTTTTCCTTTTAAATGAATAAGTAAAAACAAAATTACATAAATACATTTCATAATATTGCCATCTAGTTTACAAAATCTTTGCCACTTACCTTTTGAAATATCTTTAATTTTTCTGCCATACAAATCAAAAAGATATCTGGCTGGTGAAGTTAGGTTCATTCTCATTGTGCAAGTGTCTAAAACCTACACAGGAAAAATAAAAACCTCTATAAATAACTTAGTAAGCTCTGGTTAAGTTAAATATACCTTTAGAGTTCTTTCTACACTACGTGGCTATTAACAAATTATAAAGTGAAATTTAATGATTTATAAAATGTTTCTAATATATGAGATAAAAAAGCAGTTAAAATTGTTAGATGCCAACTATATTTTATTTATTTTTTAAAATATTTTGTTTATTTATTTTTAGACAGAGGGGAAGGGAGGGGGAAAGGGGGAGAGAAACATCAATGTGTGGTTGCCTCTTGTGTGCCCCCTACCAGGGAGGGATCTAGCCTGCAACCTACGCATGTGCCCTGACAGGGAATCAAACCGGTGACTCTTTGGTTCTCAGGCCAGCGCTCAATCCACTGAGCCACACCAGCCAGGACCCAAGTATATTTTAAAATATACAAATATTAATAAAAAAGAGAAAGATGATACAACAAGTATTAGAAAGTGGTTATATGTTATTTAATAAATGGTAGAAATCTTGGGGATTTTTATATTATTCTTGCTATTTTCCATATTTTCCATTTATTTTATAATAAGACAATATTACTTTTGCAATTGGGTTTTAAGGTACTCTCTTTAGCTTAAATTCCTTCCAAATTCCTAATGAATTATACATATTATCTGATCACTGTTCACCTTCATAATTTGTGTTGTTCAGGTACTAAAAATAAATGGAGTTAATAAGCCATATTTCAATGTTTTCCATGAGCTTGGGTCTCAAGAACTTTACTTTTATTAGTTTCTAATATGCTAAAGCTCTTTTCTTAATATTTTAATGACTCCACCTATTCTTGATATAGCCCTTGTAAAGGTGTCACAATCACTTTCCCAACCTCAGGGAAGGCTTAAGCATCAGCTGGAGAGAAAGTTTTATTCACACAGTGAGTTAAATTAAAGTAACAGGGAGGGTGGAAAGTATTAGGTAACTTAGGGTAAGTTTTATTAGGATTTTTGAAGTGACTCCCAGAACATGAACTCAACCTTATTCATTTAAAAGTAGATAATATATTCCAAATCCAAATTGAAAGTAGTTTGTCTTCCATTTTTATTGTTCATTGCTATAATATACTATCGCTTTTGCATGACCAAGAACTACTGAAGGACAATGTTCCTTGTATGATTACATGGTAAAAAGAACACCTTCCCACTGCTGATACTGCTCGCTGTTTCTGCCCACTTTAATTCCTACTTTACAAATTGAAGCCTGTAACCCCAGTCATAGTCTAACCAACTCATTTTCTTTGTGACAATGGACGTATCCAAACAATTTAATGTGTATGTTGAGGCAAAGCTGTACTTTCTTTCAGTTTGGAGAACTATTTTTAAATATTGTGACTGATCTGGTTTGTCTAGTTCCTGCACCGAGGGCTATGTCACATTTAAAAGGCAAATATTTAACTGACGGATTTAATTGAATGAATTTGCCTTTTTTGGACTATATCAGATGTTCTCAGGCTCTACTCTAACCCTACACATGACCAATAACATTCCCACATGCCACATAATCCCACAGGAACTCACCAAATCGTGTGTTCCTTGCAGACTAGCTGCAATCTAGCACTTTGGGCAATTCCTCAGAAACTATGTATTGCTGCTGTTTTTCTCAAAATCAGGAAGGAGTATCTATTTGTGATTAAGAATGAACTTGTAGGAATAATCTGGCACCCTTTAATTTATGACAGAAATTTTCCCAATATCAATACTCTACCTTGTTAAATAGCAACATACTTGCAACGCACTTCACATATGACTTGTGCACGCTGTCACGTGGAGCAAACCCACTGACCTCCAATCTGCCCACTGGGAGTGTGTCAATGCAGGAGTTCACTTCCTGACCACTGCCATGTGTCCTCACAAGGCAGACACGATGCTCCCTAACTTGGAAGAGCTCCAGTGGTATCACTGACCCTACCCCTTGGCTGGGATTAGTCCTTGCTACTCAACCAAGGTATTAACCCTGATGACTCTCTAAAGGTTGAAAATTGGTCTTCCTGCCTTCCCTCCCGCTCTCCTGGGCCAATTTCCTTAGTGATTGCTACATGTGAGTTCACACAGGACTCCTATCCCATGGACTAAAGCACTTACTGAAGATGTTTGAAAAGCAATACGCAAAATATACAAGAGAAGGTAACAGGAGAATTAACTGGAGTTCTGTCTGTGACTTGAGACAGAACGAAGAGTGGAACATATTAACTGACATTGGCATAGGATCCACCCTTATTGCTTTTTTAAATACTTCAAGTAATTACTAAATCACACAGTTGGTCTCTGACTAGCAAAATTCTCCTGTTCTCAGGCTCTGTTCTTTCTTTCATGTGACTTTGTGCCCAAAGCTTATCCCTTCACCACTACCTACGACCACCCTCATTGACAGAAATACTTAGGGTAGATAATTCAGTATAGATTCTTCCTTAGCCAATCATCTCTGAAAACTATTAAGGATCTACAGTTGTTCCCACGGATCCTAAAAAATGTGGCTTCTTCCTTAGCTTCCCCACATTCTTGGTCTTTCCATTCTTTGTGTTTAGTTTTCAATCTCTTAATTTTACAAATCTCTTATTTAAAAGTGCAACAAAGCCTCTTTATAAAATTCATCATCCCTAATTACTAGTGAAGGTTTGAATACCTAAATATTCTCTATAGTTATAATTTACTAATTAAACTACGTAAAATATGAGCTACTTGATTGCCCCATTTACTTCAATTAAAATCTCAATGGTTTTAAAACTTATTTCAAATATTGCTACTTTTGGGCCTTAAATCAGTCACGTAAAAATCACTTCTCTTTTCACAATGCAAAAACACCAGTAAAAATGTTTGTACAAGCCAAGTTTAAAGAGTTAAATGAGTTTTAAAATGAGCATTAGAAAATCAGTAGAAATTAATAATGCATCAGCAACACTGTCATTCTCTCCTACTTTCAGAGCATAAGATCTTACAGGGCTTAAGCAATGCCAACCTTCAGCAGCCATTCTCTCTGGGTAAATCACCAGTGGTATGAATTAGTATCAACATAAATTTCTGCCAAAGCCCTGAAATGAGCCTCTACTTGCAAGGTCGTTCTTCTATTTCGCAATTGAAAAACATTTAATGGTGCCATCTTGCTGTAATATTCAGGTTAATTAAAAACCATTTCCACTAACTTGTAACTGTTAAACTTGTTAAAATATTACTTTTACAAATTCATATTATGTTAATTTCTTATAGTTTAGGTTGTAGAGAACCCTTCCGATACTGAAATTTAAAATCATCATGCTGTAGAGCCAGGCCCTTCTTGACAAGCACCTGGGAAGAGATTCTCAACAAACTCTTTTTAGTTTAACTTATTTGATCCCAGTTTTAGGAGTCACCTCCACCCCTGGGTACATCTGGTGCCGCCTGCAGTTCCTGGACTGGCCACCATGGAGGCGGTGTCATTACACAATCTACAACCGATTGGTGTGGTTTGTCACGCCCCCGTCCAAGTGAGAGAGTCTGCCTAGATCAGCCTCACTGGAAGCCAAGTGAACCACATCAACAAGCCATCAGATTCAACAATGTCGTCCTCCTCAAAGACAGAGAACCTAGATATCTTTTAACATGTTTTTATGAATCAATGCTCTATATGCCCTCTTCAGCAGGGGTCTGGAAACTACACACCATGGGCTAATTCTGGCCACAGTCTTTTTCTATATGGCCTGTGAGCTAAAAATCATTTGTATATTTTCTTCATTGTTAAGAAATAATAAAAAGAAACATAATATTTTGTCTAGGTGTGTGAAATTCAAATTTCAGAGCCCATGAATAAAGTTTTCTCGGGAAACAACCACACTGTACATTTACGTATTTTCTATGCCTGTTTTCATGCTACAGCAACAGAGCTGAGTAGGTACTAGAGACCCTATGGTCCATAAAGCCAAAAATATTTACCGTCTCTAGCCCTTTATAGAAAGTTTGCGTACTCCTGGTCCACTGTATCATCATTCACATAAAGTTCTATATTTTCTTATCCTTTGTACAATAGCCTCAACCCCTTTGCCTAGGTTTAAAACCTTTTAATTGTGTACTCTGAAAATACTTCCCCTGACTGACAAAATTGACTAGATACTCAACCTCTTTTAAAAGAAACCAGGCTTTCTCCTGAGTTCACTACTAATTTCCCCCAAGAGCCCTCTCAAGTGGTGTGATTTCATACTCTCATATCATACAATCTCAAGTTTGGAAAGTGGTGTTACTTATAATACTATTTCAAGATCATTTTTCCTCAACCCTCGTACTGAACAAACAGAACAAACCATCTAACCAACCCTGTCTCCCTGGGGATCCTAATGTTTAAGTGCACCTCTTCCCTCACTCTAGTCACTCACTCATGGATCACTTTTGCCACAGAAATCCTAACTTGGGGTGACTCTTACTATCTACTCTCTGTGCACATGCCAAGAAGCCTGGCGCTCCTGGAGAAAGTCACACAAATGAACACATCAGCATTACTATTTTTCATTGTTACCAACCTCCGCACTACTTCAATACATCCCAGTCACTTATATTTCATTTATTAAGGTCCTTATTAAAACTATTAAGGATCTATGGTTGTTCCCACGGACAAGTCTCTCTTCTGCTCACCATAACGAATATTTCAAACCATCTTTGCTCTGCTTGTCCCCTGACCCAGACACCCCTCCCCTATTTCTATCTTTATATTAGGCAGATGGCATGATCTCCTACATCAAAGAGAACGTTGTAGCCTCATCTTCAAGCCACCAAAGCTACAAACCTCCCTACTTCTACAACCATCCTCTCTTTTTTCCCCTCTAGTTATATTACAGGAGTCCCTGCTCCTATCTGAGGCCAATATTCCACCTCTGCTTTTGATTACATTTACTCTTAGCTTTTAAAGCAGTATATATTGTCCATCATTTGTTTTTACCTCATAGGTATTATATATTTAACTATGTTTCTCAACTAGGATTTTTCCCCACCGGCACTTAAAC